GCAGGAATAAATTGATTTCCTTTTGTATAATAAGTAATTGCCTAGACCAAATCTGTGGATACTTAAATTCGCAGATTGGAGCCATGAACAGGCAAGATATATCTTCCTGGAAACCTGTGGAAAGCCCCAGGTTTGCAGAAAAATATGAGATTAAAAAATACGTTGCGGTGGGGTTAAAACACACACACACACACCCAAAATAATAAAAGGAGCACCTGTAGGAATGGATGCTCTCAGTGGCCGTTGCTAGGCAACCACAACAGGACCGACATCATTCCAGGCTTGGTTTCTGACGAGATCAGGGTAGCCTGGGCCATCCAAGGCAAGGCAGTAGGAACACACTTGGCTGCGATCTGAGGTACAATTCCTTGGAACTAAGTACCATTGACATCAATGGGTCTTACTCCCAAGTAATGATATGTGGGATGGATGGATGGATGGATAGGTAGATGATAGATATGTGGTATGTATGAGATATATACGGTATATTTGTGGTGTGTGTATCTCATATATACCACATATCTATCTACCTATCTGAGAGAACTCATGAGAAGGTTCCCACATATAGTGAAGGAGCCATCAGAGATGGCACTACTTCTAGAAGATCATAGACAAAGAAATGCTGAGACGAGAAAGAAAAGCAAGTACGCGCATCCCGTGAAGGGTAAAAGACACAGTGAAACAACAGTCTTATTGATGGTGTCACATATAGATATGTAAAAATGCTAGGAAATGCAGCAATGAAAGCTAAATAGAGCTGACAATCTTAGTAAAACAAGGGTGGGGAATTCTGCCCCGCCCGCCCGCTGCCGCCGGGCTCTTTTTGTAGCAGGTACTCATTTGCATATTAAGTGACACACCCCTAATGTAGCCAATCCTCCAAGAGCTTACAGTAGCTCCTGTAAGAAGAGCTCTGTAAGCTCTTGGAGGATTGGCTACATTAGGGGTGTGTGGCCTAATATGCAAAGGAGTGCCTGCTACAAAAAGAGCCCACGTTTGAAAAGGATCAATAACACCTGTCAAAGTGGCAGGGAAAATTTAATATAGAAGCTGCATATAGGCCTCAGTAATCTCTGTGCACATTGAGTGGCAGCGAAGTATAAACCCTATGAAAGGCAACATTGGAATTCTACCATTGGAAACTTCCCTCTTCAACAAGAGGGGTACTGCCTGCAGGAGCAGTAGAGCGGTCAAGACACAGAACCGTCAAGCAAAAGGCATGTATAATGAGTCTGTCTGTCTGCCTACCTACCTGTCTACCTATCATCCATCCATCTATCCATCTACCTACCTACCTATTGTCTGTCTGTCTATCTATCTATCTATCTATCTATCTGCCGTTACAGCAGCTGCCAATTCATATGTTGAATAACAGAATTTCCCATCCTGTGCAACTTTTGAAAAATGTCATTCCCACCCCCCATTTTGTTCACATTTCTCACAGCCTGAGTGATTCCCCAGACCCGCCTTCCCCATTCGACCTTCTCCCCATGTCTCCGAGCGTCTACGCCGTTTTGAGAGAACACCTGAGTCCCACAGTGATGGAAACAGCGGTACGAGGAAAGATTGCTTACTTGCCTGTTTCTTTATTGACTTCATTTATACCCCACCTTGCTCCCTAGTGGGGACCCAAAGGAGCTTACATCGTTCTTCTGTTTTATCCTCACAACAGCCCTGTGAGGTAGGTTATGGGTGAGAGGAGGTGACCGGCCCAGATTCCCCCAGGAAGTTTCAAGGCAGCGCAGGGATTAGAACCTGGGTCTCCCGGATCCTAGTCTGACACACATAAGAACATAAGAGATGCCAATGTTGGATCAGGCCAAAGGCCCATCCAGTCCAACACAGTGGCCAAAAATACCTGGTGCCATCAGGAGGTCCCGCAGTGGGGCCAGGACACCAGAAGCCCTCCCAATGTTGACATCCCCAAGCACCAAGAAGACAGAGCATCACTTGCCCCAGAGCCCCTATCTATACCTTGTGGCTAATAGCCACTGATGGACCTCTGCTCCATATGCTTATCTAATTCCCTTTTGAAGCCGTCCACACTAACCACTACACCACTCTGGTTCTTTTCTCCTTCTTAAGGAAATGAAGGGATGGTGTGTAAAGCCAGTTTAGTGTCGTGGCTAAGTGTGCGGACTCTCATCTAGGAGAACCGGGTTTGATTCCCCACTCCTCCACTTGCACCTGCTGGATGACTTTGGGTAAGCCGTAGCTCTGATATGAAAAAGGTGCAGTTTCTGTCAGAGCTCTCTCAGCCCCACCCACCTCACAGGCAGTGTTCCCTCTAAGCTGAGTTAGTGTGAGCTAGCTCACAGTTTTTTTAGCCTCTGCCTCACACATTTCTGGCTTAGCTCAGGAAGGGTGGCTCCAGAGCAAACCAACTGATGCAGTAGTCAAATCGTTTGCTCACAACTTCAATGCCAGTAGCTCACAAAGTAGAATTTTTGCTCACAAGACTCCACAGCTCAGAGGGAACATTGCTCACAGGGTGTCTATTGTGGGGAGGGGAAGGGAAAGGAGTTTGTAAGCCGCTCTGAGACACCTTTGGGTAGTGAAGGGCGGGGTATAAATCCAATCTCCTCCT